CATCCTTTTTGGTTTCTAATAACTTCTATTTCAATCCTCCATGATGGTCACATTCCAGTTTTATGAGGAATTCCTAGAGGAGTATCGCTAAATGCAGCACTGATTTCCAAGTTTGCAGTCCTGCCGTCATAATAGCGTCATTGTCACCACTTTTTGAATTATCATAAGTGATTGGTATCAAATATTGCCGAAACAGATTCCTTCTTGTCACTTCTTAATTGTTATTTTATTGCTCTTATTTTTGTTCGCGTTTTGTAATGAACTTCTTTGATAATGTCTTTGTGAAAATGCATTCATAACTTGAACTCGTCAATGTGTCAATTTATTATGAATTATTTTCTAATGGTTTTTTGAGAGGAACACTTTATTTTACATTGTTTCTTTGATTCAACCCCTCGTATAAATCAAACAAAAAAGTGATTTTATTACTATACTTTGCTATGTTTTTCATTTGCATTCGCCATACTATTATACGGTTCATTTAGATTTGCGCTATAGCATTTTGTTGACTGACATATTCTCAAGTAAATTTTACTGAAACTTATGTTCAACTGCAATGAGCAGCGATACGAACAGAGAGGAGAGAGCAGAGGAGCGAGTTCGAACCTCAACATTTTCCGGTTTTACTTACCATTGAGTTGGACATCTGTTCCGAAATATTTGAGTACGGTGGAACATTTGCGTGCAACGCTGTTCAGCTGATATTGCAATGGAACTGATCAGTCTGCAAGCGTTCATTTGTGTGGCATTCATGAAAGGAGATTTACACATTCATTCAAGTGCATTTCCCTGCTACCTTGTTAATCGTTTTAGGGCTTCGGCATCCGAACATTTTGGTATCTTTTTTTTCAATTCTCGCCATAGAAAGGTTTACAAAATAGCGTATCGAAAGAAAAAAATTGTCGAATGAAAAAGAAACACTAGTGGACCCACCGACGAACTGTGAAAGTCACCTTGGTCAATTTCGCCCACCGTCAGCCTGTGCACAAGCCTAAGTCTAATTGAAAGTGTTAGCCGAAGCGTCAGCTCAAACAAAGCTGGAGTTTGATTTGGATGGATAGGAGGTAGAATGCATCCAGGTGAATCCTGGCGCGATCACCAATCCCATTTTTAGGATGCAATCAGAGCGAGACAGTGTGTATTTCTGTCGCTACCTCAGCGCGTAGGACGAGTATGCCTTCAGAACCAGATTTCAGCGACTGATTCGATGAAATTTGCCCTCACTTGTTTGAAAGTTTCAAATTTTCTTATGTGATCTTTTTCTTAACTTTTATCCTCGCTCTAACCAGTCATTTCTTGAGTTCACTGCTTTACATTTTATTTCGACAGGTAATGTGGATCAGTGATAGTAAGAGATGGAAAATAGTAAGAAGAGCTGACGGTTGACACTGAAATATTCAAGTGACGTTACGCACACGATTCAATCTGTACGAAATTTTTTTTCACTCACATCCAATGAATGTTCACGGCGGAAAAACGGTTTAAAAAATATATGCTGATAGATGAAAAAAGGAACGCTCAACTGCATTGTAACCACTCATCGTTATAATGGAAAGTTGCAGCCCGCTGAAATAACTACTGCGAAATTTTAGATAGGATAGCTCTCAAGTGAGATGCATTGTTTGTGTTTTGTGCATTGAAAATGGAACGAGAAAAATTCGAAAATCGTGCAACGAAGGGAACAAAACCGCCACTTGCTCTTGTTATCATAGTAGTGTAGTATGTAGTATGTATGTAATGTAGTATGTAAGTTGGAGTGTAGTATGCAAGCTTTGCGCGCAACGTTATTCGTCGAATTTTTGTAATGAACTTTTTTTTCTGACAAATATCAGCCATATTTCGTCGTGACGAAAGAAACTTTTTGCACCAATTTTTACATAGCGCCGATACCTTTTCGTCGTGCATTCGTGTAATTTTCCACATTTTACGCATTCGCAACGAACACGACAACAGAATCCATGTATTTTCTCTTGTTGTCTTCGTACGATTTTAACGTTACGCACGGGTGTATTTTAGCCCACCGTAAATCTAATTATAAGCGCTCAGATAGTCGTTTCAGTCTTTCGGTATCCATTCGTGCATGAAACATCAATTCATTTCAGAGCTTCACGTTTTTGTCTTAAACGAACGACAACAATGGAAACTGGTGATGAATTGGTCAATATACATTCTGAGCTTTTAAAAGAAAGCCAACAGTCGCCAGATGGACCAGCAGAATCGGTCGCTGAACTGCAGACGAAAGAAACATCGTTATCAAATCAGCGTTCGAATGATGAAGAAACTGATTCATTCAAACAACCGTTAAAACCGTCGAATCAGCACCAAAATACGGAACAAACGGTTTCTTCCATCAATCTGTTATTATTTTTCAATGAATTTCGCCATGTTCAGTTGTTCAACATTGAATTTGACTTATCGTCGTGTATAGTGTGATTGGCGGTTTGCAAAATTCATTAACAGTTATTCGGTCTTGAACAAGATATTACTTGAGGATGTTGTTGTTTCAGAAAGGTTTGTCGTCGAATAATGACGATATCAGTTCGGTTCTGTCATTATCGACACCGAAATTAGACTACAAACCACCCTGTTGGGCATTAGAACCGAACGTAGAAGATGGTTATGGAATTGAAGTGATCAAGAACGGTACTATTGTTGAGTCGGTTGATTTCAAAAATTCGAAATCGTCGAACCACTTCGTTATCGGTCGTTTGCCGTTGTGTGATATGACACTTGATCATCCCACCATTTCAAGGTTCTTTTTCGTTTGCTCCATTTATCTCGTCCCAGCGGTATGACTATTTTCAGTATCTTTCTTAAATTGATGGTATTGTTATCGTTATTTTTGGTGTACTGATGGGTGTAATTATTATTGTTATTATTATTATTATTATTATTATTATTATTATTATTATTATTATTATTATTATTATNATTATCTCTTTTGTTGTTTTTATCACTATTACTCATCAAAATAAATAGATGTATTGTTTGATTTCAGATATCATTGTATCTTACAGTACGGTGAGGATTTAATGGAACGTTCTGGTAAAGGCTGGCACATCTATGATTTAGGCAGTACACATGGCACGAAACTGAATAAAAGACGAATTCCATCGAAACAGTATATTCGAATACGTGTTGGTTATGTGATGCAGTTTGGGGGTTTGTTTCGTTCTTATTCCGATCTTAATTCCAAACATTTATTATTCATATCCTAGACGTTCGTTTCTACTTTTCTGTTTTACACTTTACATTTTGATCATTTTTCTTATTGATTATTCGTAATTGATTTAGTTTTGTTGAAAAATAATCAAAATCTTGAAGGAAGCAGTCGAATAATGGTATTGAAAGGACCCTCGTCGGATGTGGAGAAAGAGTGTGAGTATTCACCAACTGAAATGAAGAAAATGCGAGAACGTCGAAAATTGGAAGATAAATTGCGCAAGGAAGCTGAAAACGAAATGAAAGAGGAGAACGATAAAAATAGTAACGATGAGGGTATATCATGGGGAATGGGTATGTTTTGTGATGTTTTATTATCTGTTTAGCACTGATCATCGTTTTATGTTTGGTTCATTCAGTTTGTTTATTAATATTTACCATACATGACTAGTGACTGATTCCTCATCACTCACGAAACTCTGTAATGTTGGCTTGGATCGGGGAACCTCGAACCCGATTTCGCCCCCGACCAAACCAAACTGCTTCCTTCAAGATTTTGATTATTTTTCAACAAAACTAAATTATGTGGATTATTGCGAGTTTGTATTTTCTTGAGTATCACATTCTCGAATTGCCGTTCATTATATACGAGCAGCCAATGGAATTCGTTGTCTCAAATTTTAAAATTTATTAGTCTCTAAAAATCGTGTTTCTAAAACTGCATTTTTCCTGTTGTCTAACTATGTAATCGAATTTGTTAACTGTTTTAAAAATTCAATTCAAATGGTGTAATTCGGTTCGAATCGTATTCCGTTGCTTGTTCTAATTCATTGTCAATTTTCAAATTTTAATGACTTTCATGAAGATTTCACTAAATATTTCAAAACTTCAATGTTCAGATTACGGTGAAGAGCAAGCGTATGCTCATGCCGACGAAAAGGATTTCGATGACGAACGCGAATCCGCATATTCAGACGATCCATTGAAAGCATTATCGCATTTCTTCGACCGAGAAGGCTTCGATATGGAATTTACATTCACCGAATCTGGTATGGGACATACACACAAATGGACCTGCTACATTGAGTTAGTTCTTATTAAGTTAATTTTGTTCTTTTCTTGATTCTGTTTATTCATATTGTATTTCAAGCTTTTGTCACTTACAAAGGAAATGGAAATTGCGAGCGAAAAATTGATAAGATACAAATGGTTCGAAAGGTTTGAATGTGACGTGGGGTTTCATAGAGCTTGTTCCAAGTATTATGGTCGAAAACATGCTGAAAATTTTATGTTTCTTCCATTCAGATTGATTGATATGCTTTGTTTGATATTTGTACGTTCAAATAAAATGCAACATTTCAGGTTACCCGTTGATACTGCCGCAGGACAATCGCTCTCAGCAAGTGCTACATGTAGTGGTGGTAAGAAAGAGGCGCAAACAATGTGTGCTTTGAACGCGTGTCGTATATTGGGTAGGTGGCTATTTGATTTCGGCATATTCGCGTTTTCACATCTACATGTGTTTTCGTGCAGGATTCTTCGTCGATTTCATTGTTCATTTGCGTGTACGAGTGAAAAACGCATACATAGAGAGTTTGGAGGTTCCCTAGCCGAGATGTTGAACAAATTCAGTGGAGCTCATTAATTAACATTTTAGCATTGCAAAATACGCGAAAATGAATATATTCATGCTGAAATTGTAGATGAATGGAAGTAACGTTGACCAATTACAGATATGCACGGCGTTTTGTATGGATCAAAGAGTGCAGCGAAGAAGAAGGCGAAAGATTTGGCCGAGAATGATTATTATGATTCAGATGAAGACATTTATTTGGATAGAACTGGTCAAATCGAGAAAAGTCGCGAGAATCGACGAAGGCGTGCTTTGGTACTGTTTACTACAAAAATCATTGAGTATAAAATTATTGTGATTATTGATGAAATAATGTTGAATAATAATAGTAATGATAACGAGAGGAATCATAACTGCTGTTGTCACTCTGTGAAGGTAATGCTAACAGGAATAGTTTTCATTTAAGGAGGCACGAGGTGAATACACTGAGCAAAAAGAAACTTATGAAGGCTTACTGAAGAAGATATCATCGGCAACTGAAGAAATGCAACAAATTGGGAAACGTTTAGAATCGTTATCGAATAATGTTGGTGTTATTAAAGACGATAACACAAATGAAGATGATTTGGACGTATTCTGCAGAAATCTGGAAAAGACACACAACAACGCAGATAGTATTGAGGTGAGTGAAGGGATTATTTCGAGTTGTTTGTCTCAGCACATTTTGAATTAGTAGTTGGTTTGTGATGCAAATGTTGTTGATGGAACGTTAAATCTTGAGCAAAACCCTATAAACATATTTGTAATCTTCAGTACAATCGGCAGACTTTTTAATGATTATGAATTAGTAGTTTAAGTGAGGAGACTGAGTTAAGCAACACTAACAATAAGATGGCTGGAAAGTAGATTGGAGCTGTGTTCATTGTGGTGATCCTGACGTTTCAATAATGGTCATAAGCACAAAATTTTGTAGCATCAATGTTGTTTCTTGTGTGATGCTATTCACCACTTTATTATTTTCATAAAACAGCGTTTTTTGCAGGTAAAAGTTGAAAAGTCACACCTCCGACAGAAGTTAGTGGAACTGAAGCATGAAATTGAACGGATGGAAAAGCTCGCGAAGATTGCGAAGCCGGTGGCATTACCGTCGCTGAAAGTGGGCGCTTTATCAGTATTTTCCATATTTTTACTATCATTGCTGATTTGTGTGACTCTGTCGACGTACCATTAAGAATTCATACTGGGTAGACAATTAAGAATATAGAAGCATTAATGTTCTCGTCTAATTTGAGTGTCAGTAGTGAGTTGAGGAATGTGTTTATTGTTTGATGTTGACTGTGCACGATGTAATCTAAAAAGTGATGAGTGGTAATTAAGGACCCAAGTCAACAAAAACAGTCACAGTCTGCAGCATTAATGCGCAAGTTGATGATGCTAAAGCGTTCGAAAGCCAAGGAGTCGCATCAAAGTGAGGATAGTCGAGAAGTAATTGGAATGCAGTTACCACCGCAGTTATCGACTGATAAGAACAAAGACAATCAGTTTGTTGTTGAGACGGAGGATGACGACGCTACGCAATCAGTGCACCATATCGACGAACCCCCATCTACCTCAAGTATCCCTCATTCCGATCAAGCAGCACCGACATCTAGTCAAAGTCAGCCTGGAATCACGGACTCCAAATCCACAATAACGTCAGAATCTGGGCGAATAGATTCGTTGACTGTCAACGGCCAAAGTCCAAAATCATCCACTGAGAATCTCAATCTAGATTCTGAGCGATCCTCCGAAACTGGTTATGGAAAGGTTGATCGGGTGGAGGGTAGGAAAGAAACGAACTTTGGTGCAATGACAGAAACTAAGTGTATATCATTGGATCAACAAGCACCTGAACGCGATTCGAATCAACCGTCAGATGAAGGCGTCGGAGAGATCGTTGTGAAACGGAAACGTATGAGATTGAGAGCTACAGACCGTGCCTCAAATAAGAGCACATCCTCAACACAACAGGTAAAGTGTCCCTGCTTTGTTTACTACGATAGTGGAATGATAATATCAGTGCCGTTGGTTTTGCTCATATAGTGAGTGTTAACGTCATCAAGGACCGATATTGTCTCGCTGAATCGCAATTTTTCCGTTTAGTTTCGTTTAAGTTTATCAAAAAAAAGTCGTTTCCGATCAGCATCAAACGGTGTTGTGAATTGTTAACTATCATCATAACTTTTTCTGAGAACACGTTTTTCGAAGCGTAAACGTTTGAAGACTCCGTTTTGAATATCACCGAAATAGGCAATAAAATCTGAAATAAATTGCAAATTTCAGAGTGGTGAGTATGGCGAAGGATGCGTGAATCGTGACTTGGATTATGCCACTTGGCTACCTCCGGAAAATCAATCCGGAGATGGAACAACGGCTTTGAATGCAAAGTTCGCCGGAAAATATTAGACAATTCATTCCTTGATTGATTGATCAAACGAGCTGTTTGCAGTTAATAAACGTCGTTTGTGATCACATACTCTCAATTCTGATCATTTTTTCTTGAGATCTTCACGTTTGCTTTTTGCCGACACAAAACTAAATTCACTCATCATAAACTGACGTTCAAATAAAGCGAATCAAATGGAGTCGCATATGAAATGCAGTTATGTGTCGTAAAATGAGTAATGTCGTGTTATTGGTGTGTTATTTGTGTGATGTACAAAAGAATTAATATTTATATTCAGTGGATGCATAAATTTATGTTGAAGATTTGTATCATTATTGTTATTGTCTTTTATGTTATATATAACTTGTTATGTTGATTGTTCGTGTTGTTTATTGAGCAGCAATTGTTGTTGTTTTATTTTATCATTTGATTAATTGATTTATCATTATAAATAATTATTTGCCGGGTCATCCTCAGTGTGTTCATTCATGCAGTTTGCATTTGTTGTTGAGCAGCAACAGGCAAAATGTTTTGTAAGTTGTAATTGCGTGGAAAAGACCACTCATCGAAGCATTACGAACATATTTTTCGAAGTAGTGTAGTGATACATATCGGCTACCAATGTAAAAAAAACCATTGCGCAGAATTCAATGAAACAGTTGACGCGGTGTAGATGCATTCGAACCACTAATTAACGACAACCCCATCCTATTCAATGATAATCACTCCAAACATCAATTGTCATAGCCTCAGAGCGACTTACACAAATTATCAGCATTATTGTCTATGACCGCCCTAGTCGCATAACTCATCATCGGCAATCGTATTCCAGCTGATTGTTCAAAGAGATAGTAGGGCGAAGGCGATGCGCGATGGGTTTCGAACGAAATTTGTTTATTTCTCTGCATCGCAAATCGAATGTCTCATTAATGGTACTGTAGGTATTTTTTGACAGCAGTAGAGCAGAAGAGGCATTGGTAGAAAGGGTTGCAATGCTAATATATCGTGCAATTGTTTCCTTCAGGTATTTCTTCCGACCTGAGGATAACTACAAATATAAAAAAGCCACATGAAATGTGTGACGAATGCAACATGCCATGCTCGCGATCAGGTCTCGCCGACACTGCAATAAGCAAGTGCACTGTAATGTGCTGGTCTCATGTATAACCTATCCGCACGATTTGATCATTTTTGCGGCAATTACAATTGACCGAAAATGTAGCACTAAATTCAAACTGACATTTTAGCGTCGAAAGAGTCAGGAAAAGTGTTGCAACGAGTCGATTTTTAAGTGCTAAATGTTTGTCGAATATTTAGATGTGTGATAGAATACAAAGCGATAAGAGTGCAATGGATAGTTGAGTGGGAACTGATAAGGATACGTTCTTGTCAGTTGATAACATCATAGTTGAAAGAAGATGTGCCTCTTAGTGAATATTGAACAACAGTGAGTGTTTTTCATGTTATAAATGAATGGTTTGCTTCTGAAAATAAAAACGACGACTCAATAGAAAATTTTACTGAGAATATGGCACGTACAAAATATTCAATAATACACATCA